TGATGTGTGTCACCAGCATGATGAGTGTTACGAGCATGATGAGTGTCACCAGTATGATGAGTGTTACCAGTATGATGAGTGTCACCAGCATGATGAGTGTTACGAGCATGATGAGTGTCACCAGTATGATGAGTGTCACCAGTATGATGAGTGTCACCAGCATGATGAGTGTTACGAGCATGATGAGTGTTACGAGCATGATGAGTGTCACCAGTATGATGAGTGTTACCAGTATGATGAGTGTCACCAGCATGATGAGTGTTACGAGCATGATGAGTGTCACCAGTATGATGAGTTACCAGTATGATGAGTGTCACCAGCATGATGAGTGTTACGAGCATGATGAGTGTCACCAGTATGATGAGTGTCACCAGTATGATGAGTGTCACCAGCATGATGAGTGTTACGAGCATGATGAGTGTCACCAGTTTGATGAGTGTCAGCAGTGTGATGAGTGTCACCAGTTTGATGAGTGTCAGCAGTGTGATGAGTGTCACCAGTTTGATGAGTGTCAGCAGTGTGATGAGTATCACTAGTATGATGAGTGTCACCTGTATGATGAGTGTCACCAGTATGATGAGTGTCACCAGCATGATGAGTGTTACGAGCATGATGAGTATTACGAGCATGATAAGTGTCACCAGTATGATGAGTGTCACCAGTATGATGAGTGTCACCAGCATGATGAGTGTTACGAGCATGATGAGTATTACGAGCATGATAAGTGTCACCAGTATGATGAGTGTCACTAGTATGATGAGTGTCACTAGTATGATGAGTGTCACCAGCATGTGTTACGAGGATGATGAGTATTACGAGCATGATGAGTGTCACCAGTATGATGAGTGTCACCAGTATGATGAGTGTCACCAGCATGATGAGTGTTACGAGCATGATGAGTATTACGAGCATGATGAGTGTCACCAGTATGATGAGTGTCACCAGTATGATGAGTGTCACCAGTATGATGAGTGTCACCAGCATGATGAGTGTTACGAGCATGATGAGTGTCACCAGTATGATGAGTGTCACCAGCATGATGAGTGTTACGAGTATGATGAGTGTCACCAGTATGATGAATGTCACTAGTATGATGAGTGTCACCAGTATGATGAGTGTCATAAGTATGATGTGTGTCACCAGCATGATGAGTGTTACGAGCATGATGAGTGTCACCAGTATGATGAGTGTCACCAGTATGATGAGTGTCACCAGCATGATGAGTGTCATCAGTATGATGAGTGTCACCAGTATGATGAGTGTCAGCAGTATGATGAGTATCACTAGTATGATGAGTGTCACCTGTATGATGAGTGTCACCAGTATGATGAGTGTCACTAGTATGATGAGTGTCACCAGTATGATGAGTGTCACCAGTATGATGAGTGTCACTAGTATGATGAGTATCACCAGTATGATGAGTGTCATCAGCATGATGAGTGTTACGATCATGATGAATGCCACCAGTATGATGAGTGTCACCAGTATGATGAGTGTCACCAGCATGATGAGTGTCACCAGCATGAGTGTCACCAGTATGATGAGTGTCACCAGCATGACTGTCACCAGTATGATGAGTGCTACTAGTATGATGAGTGTCACCAGTATGATGAGTGTTACGAGCATGATGAGTGTCACCAGTATGATGAGTGGTACGAGCATGATGAGTGTCACCAGTATGATGAGTGTCACCAGTATGATGTGTCACCAGTATGATGAGTGTCACTAGTATGATGAGTGTTACGAGCATGATGAGTGTCACCAGTATGATGAGTATCACTAGTATGATGAGTGTCACCAGCATGATGAGTGTTACGAGCATGATGAGTGTCACCAGTATGATGAGTGGTACGAGCATGATGAGTGTCACTAGTATGATGAGTATCACTAGTATGATGAGTGTCACCAGCATGATGAGTGTTACGAGCATGATGAGTGTCACCAGTATGATGAGTGGTACGAGCATGATGAGTGTCACTAGTATGATGAGTATCACTAGTATGATGAGTGTTACGAGCATGATGAGTGTCACCAGTATGATGAGTGTCACCAGCATGATGAGTGTTACGAGCATGATGAGTGTTACCAGTATGATGAGTGTCACCAGTATGATGAGTGTCACTTGTATGATGAGTGTCACCAGTATGATGAGTGGTACGAGCATGATGAGTGTCACTAGTATGATGAGTGTTACCAGTATGATGAGTGTCACCAGTATGATGAGTGTCACCAGTATGATGAGTGTCACTTGTATGATGAGTGTCACTTGTATGATGAGTGTCACCAGTATGATGAGTGGTACGAGCATGATGAGTGTCACTAGTATGATGAGTGTCACCAGTATGATGAGTGTCACTAGTATGATGAGTGTCACCAGTATGATGAGTGTCACCAGCATGATGAGTGTTACGAGCATGATGAGTGCCACCTGTATGATGAGTGTCACCAGTATGATGAGTGTCACCAGAATGATAAGCGTCACCAGCATTATGAGTGTCACCAGCATGAGTGTCACCAGTATGATGAGTGTCACTAGCATGATGAGTGTCACCAGTATGATGAGTGTCACTAGTATGATGAGTGTCACCAGCATGATGAGTGTCACCAGCATGAGTGTCACCAGTATGATGAGTGTCACCAGCATGATGAGTGTCACCAGCATGAGTGTCACCAGTATGATGAGTGTCACCAGCATGATGAGTGTCACCAGCATGAGTGTCACCAGTATGATGAGTGTCACCAGCATGAGTGTCACCAGCATGACTGTCACCAGTATGATGAGTGTTACTAGTATGATGAGTGTCACCAGCATGATGAGTGTTACGAGCATGATAAGTGTCACTAGCATGATAAGTGTCACCAGCATAATAAGTGTCACTAGCATAATAAGTGTCACTAGCATGATAAGTGTCACCAGCATGATAAGTGTTGCTACCATGATGAGTGTCACCAGCATAATAAGTGTCACCAGCATGATGAGTGTTTCTAGCTTGCTAAGTGTCACTAGCAAGATAAGTTTTACCAGCATGATAATTGTCATCAGCATGATAAGTATCACCAGCATGATGAGTGTCACCAGCATGATGAGTGTCACCAGCATGATGAGTGTCACCAGCATGATGAGTGTCACCAGCATGATGAGTGCCACCAGCATGAGGAATGTCACTAGCTTGATAAGTGTCACCAGCATAATAAGTGTCACCAGCATGATAGGTGTCATTAGCATGTTAAGTGTCACCAGTATGATAAGTGTCACCAGCATGATAAGTGTCACCAGTATGATAAGTGTCATTAGCATGATAAGTGTCACCAGTATGATAAGTGTCATTAGCATGTTAAGTGTCACCAGTATGATAAGTGTCACCAGCATGTTAAGTGTCACCAGTATGATAAGTGTCACCAGCATGATAAGTGTCACCAGTATGATAAGTGTCATTAGCATGTTAAGTGTCACCAGTATGATAAGTGTCACCAGCATGTTAAGTGTCACCAGTATGATAAGTGTCACCAGCATGATAAGTGTCACCAGTATGATAAGTGTCATTAGCATGTTAAGTGTCACCAGTAAGCCACATTATGGAAGCTGCGAGAAGCTTGAATGCTGCGCTGGTAAACTGCAGATATGTGGAGGGAATGGTAAAGGGCTACTCATAATGCATGTTAGGCTGGATGGGTCCGCTGTCCCCTGGAACACCCTCCAGGTGAGCCAGAACTGGAATATACAGCAATGGAGGGGTATCCGTAGCCCAAAAAAGTAGAGAATATAGAATAAAATAAAGGTTCAAAGACAAGCTAAAAATGTGAATTACGAAGAAATGCTTAAAAAAGTCTTAGTTGAAAATAGGAGACATGATAAACACATGAAATGTGTTAAGAGGATGTGAAATATTAAATATATCTGAGCACCATCAATAGGGAAAATAAGAAACAACATTTCAAGGATATATACACAGGGATGTGTATATCTCTGTGTATAAACATCAAGTATCAAGGGATTAAAGTACTGACGACAGTTGGTGAGCAGGCTAAATGCAGCCTTGATGACCAATATGTACTCGATAGGCTTTAAACCCCATTAATCAGAGGATTACTTACCAAGGCGAGTACAGCCAAATGAGTACAACTAGGCGAGTACAACTGACCTATAGATTTTAAAGTCAAGCGCTAAACCCACAAGAATCACACAGCGTCTGGGGTTTGATCCAGTGGGGGACTATCACAATTTCCTTGGATCAAAAACTCTCCATCATCATCAAGCCATTCCCTCATCCTTCCTCATGTCAATCACAGCTCCAGAGTCTGACACGCTGCGGACACTGCTGCGTTGAGAATGAACTTCGTGGAACAATGGAGTGTCGAACTCACGCAGAGGTGGACGACCCTCCACGACCTCCTGGTACACTTTCACTACCTCCGCCTCCGGATACACGTTAGACTACCTCCAGATACACTACCTTTACGGAGTCTACTTTCATAACGTCTAGGCTAGATACACGTACACTCATAACGTCTAAGGTACACACATACGACCTATCAGACCTCTACAGTATGTTATTCACATTAAACTGCCTTCGTGACATCTGCAACAGATACACTTACAATGCATTAATGACCACAGAAGTAGATATACTTGCACCTCTCAAGTCTACAGTAAATGAACTTACAATACCTTAACGCCTCTACAGTAAATACTCGTCATGACGTTTCGCCGCACCTCCAAAGGCCATAGCCGGATGTTACGGGCTTCCGGTTGGGATAATAGCTTCTGCGCACTTAACAAATTATCCTCACCGGCCTCAGTTAAATCCATTATCCAAGGAACCACAACAAACTGCCGTGAAATGTCCAAACAAGTGAATCTCTAACGCAAGACGGAGTAGTGAAATAAATGTGATGTTGGGTGATTAGTTGGGTAATATCCCGCTCCAGGAAAACACTCTCACTTTCACTGACCATGACTCGGTGCCGGAACGAGTTTATTTCTTACAGTCACCCGTCACTCTCCCTCTCAGTTCCTTTTATACACAGCTCGGGAAAGAGGTGCCCAGCCCCCCTCAGGTCAACCACCCGGTAAAAACGTACATATCCCTGTTAATATTTTTCTTGGGGATAAGCGGAGGCGTGAAAACTAAGCTCCCGCTCACCTAAATTGAACATCTCTGCATTTGTCAACGAATTAGAAGCGCCAGGCGAACAGGACTGTGGGAAATTATTCAGCCGCATCTGAAGTAATTAAGGGAGTCGATTGTGGCAAAGCATTCACCTGTAGGCATTGTCAAATGCTATTTTCCGGCTGGGAAGTATAAAACCAAAGACTGAAATAACAGAAAAATCAGTGAGAGAACTGAGGGAACTTGTGAAGGTTGTTTACCAGTGATTGCTCTGGACGACGGAGAAGTCACCATGGCAACCACTGAAGCTGGGGAGCCCCTCTCAGCCAATCACACGGAACCATCGACGATCACAGGGGCCTCGACATCTCCAAGGAGTCTCAAGTTCTTGGCTTCAGGTCTCACTAGCATTTTAAATCATATCGACCTGACCACAGCGGGTAAGGTGCTGCTGCTGACGATGTTAGTGTTACTGATCCACGACCTGCTAGTGTACCTGCTGGCGTCCACCTCCAGCAGGAAGAAACTGCTAGTGACACCGTGGCTCACACAAATCTTAGCACGTTCCTGGGACGACCTCAGCCACAGGGGAGCCTTCGCTAGGTATGCTGTAGATATTCTTACTAACAGATACAGGTATGAGACATCTTTATATTTCAAAATGCTCATAAAATTAAAACATAAATTATGTATGAGTTACTGATGTTTATTTTGGGTTAATTATATATATATATATATATATATATATATATATATATATATATATTATATATATATATATATATATAATATATATATATAATATATATATATATATATATATATATATATATATATATCCTGCCAAATAGGTAAATCTGGTCAATTAGCAAAAACTCATTTAAAATTAAGTACTTTCTACAATTTTCACTTATACGTTTAAAAATATACATTTTTTTTATTTATGTTAATTTAAAAAATAATAATTTTGTGCCAGAAGAACCATAGAAAATTTACCTAACCTATTTATAACAAGCGCAATTTAATTTAGAGCTGTATGACCCTTGTAGGCTTAGCGCTTCTTTTTGACTATAATAATAATAATAATAATAATAATAATAATAATAATAATAATAATAATAATAATAATAATAATAATAATAATAATAATAATAATAATTTAGTTTAGCTTAATTCAACTAAATATAATTTGGATAAGTTTACAATAATTCAGTAATAACAAACACAATGAAATATATTGGTTCAGAATAATTTTTGCGAAATTATTGCATACACAAATTTTCGCTTGCCTTATTCGGCAAGAAGAACGTTGCTGTTTAAGCCAAAAATAGCAAGTTTTACTTATTCGGCACGACATATGTATATATGTATATATATATATATATATATATATATATATATATATATATATATATATATATATATATATATATATATATATATATATATATATACATACATATATATAATTCATATTGTTGCGTCTTACACATAGAGAATATGGGTTTTTAACGGTATAAACTTTATAGAGAATCACTGGTGGCAAATGAAGCTCACCGAGGTGATCAGATGATTTAACGAAGAATAACCCAAAACACGAGAACTGAAAAAAAAAATACGGGATAAAACAATTAAACATTATTTATAAATTAATACATAAAATGTGAAGAAAGACAGGGAAATTATAAGTAAGGGATAAGAGGCATGATAATAACAACACTACATAATGAGCGGACATAAGAGAGAACAATAAAACAATATATGTATTAGAAGCTGGCAAGAAAGGCAATGTCATTTCTCGGTGCACAGATATCAGGGTAATGCCATGAATGGTTTGCACAGTGACTCACATGAATACTTTAATTAAGAAACTAAATCGGTGGTTTCACACCTTTGTCTACTGACTCAAACACATTCACCATTAATTTCTAGGCAGCGCGAATTATAACCCCCAGAATCGATAAGGTAAATAAATTCCCTTGTCCTCTCTCTCTCTCTCTCTCTCTCTCTCTCTCTCTCTCTCCATGAATGCTCGGGTATTACCCTTCCCCCCCCCTCAGGTTTCAAGGTACAAGCCCGCTACTACCTATCTCTAAAACCTTAATATACTCATCTTTCGGGGAGCGAGCAATGTAGAAACCACCTTGATGAGTAAGACATGTGTAAGTGTTGGGTAACTTTATTGTTGAAACGTTTCGCCTACACGGTAGGCTTCTTCAGTCAAATACAGAGTAAATATGGAGACAGTAGGAGCAGCGTCGAGGCCAAGACCTTGAAGATTGATGGACTGATCATACGCCTCAACAATAACGATACCCAAATGTTGCACATGTGATTTACTGATGTACTTGTCGGAATTCTATATTATGTTCATAATTGTACTCCACCT